CAGATGCAGATACTGCAATAAGGTATTGCTGAATCAGAGGTTCATCGTGAAAATGAGGAAGTTTTTGTAGTTCGGAATGCAAAAGAAATTTCGCAGCTTAAATGTTCGTATTATGAAGATAAGAACACTACATTCATATCATTGTCAGTAGCTGCTGGGCTTCCTATTGTTCTCGGAATTGTCGTCTTTGTTTTCTTCTCTCTCTCCTGATATGTCACCATTACACATCAGTTTTCTAATTTCAGTTATGAGCTTGTTTCAGTTTATGCTTTATTATCAGTAACATGAAACGACACTTATTTCCGGTTGATTTTTGTTTCACATTTTATTTATGTGGCTAATTCATTAAGAATGTTAACAAATGTTTAATCAGCAAATCATTATAACAGTGATAAAATTGAACAAACACATTCAGCTATTTCTTTTAATCGGAGACTGTTCTAAATTCACGTAAAACTTGAAAAATTTCTCTCCTACACTCACTTATCATGCAATATGAATGTGTATGTCTTTGTCATTGTATGTAAATCTGTCGGTATATTGCCATATTTCATTCCTGGAAACCGTATATATTGCTTTATATATGTGCCTGAAAAGCATTCGTTTTACTTTCATTTGTTTACATATCTCACCTACTTGTAACGTTTTACACTTGTAAAGCGTAAAATATTATAAGTATAAAACAAGTTTGCTTTCTGCATATTCCTTGGATTATCTGAATGTTTTTTTTTCTTGGTTTTCCCCTTTTCCTGGTGTTGATCTTCAAAGAAAGTTGCATTTTTTTTCCTGTTAATCTTAAAAACCTCATTGTTGTCTGCTGTTTGTATGGTTTTTGTTACAGTTTCATCCCGTAGTCATCCTTTGGAAGAAAACATTCTTAAACTACTAAGATTAAAATACTTTGAAAATGTTATAAATGAATTGCGTTAGTACCTTTGAACTGTCTCCAAGAAATACATGAGGTTAAGAGTGACAGACAAGGATTCAAATAGTTTTCGGCAATGATAGGATGGATTTTTACGGGATGGATGTGTAAGAGTGGTTTGTTATACGTATTCAGTATAACTACTCCAGGGTCGTTGAGTATGGATCGTACACAGGTGGTCTTTTGTGGCACATTGAAATGGGAGAATAATTGGAGTTATCAGGACCTGAAAAAGAGTGGAGTACGAAAAAACTAGCTCAGGAGAGCATCAAAACATGGAATGAGGGAGTGGAATTGTGGATATTGTTAAATGCATCGATAGAACTATACATGGATTGATTTATCCAAGATCATGCTTGAGAAGATCGTATAACCTTGTCCATTCTTCCCCCTCGATCGTTTCAACAATCAAATTCTTTCATTGGTTACATTTCATTCGCACCACGGCGACAGTTCAACCTTGACATCATTGATCTCTGCCCGTACCATAATTTTGAATTCGATACATTAGACATCAAATTTGTTGAAAAGTTTGCCGAAGGAGCGATTTCTTTGAAAAGAGAAATTAACATTTTATATAATATTTAAACTTCGAGAATTTGATACTGCATTTAAAAATCCATAATTCTTATGATGGACAATCGAAATTGCAATCCGTAATTTATCGAGTGATGAAATCATAACAGTTGATGAGAATCTTCGCGATGTGCAAATATTTCTTGACTTTATTGTTTCAATATAACGCATTTCAGGAAGGTCATTTTGATACCCAATCCGATGACTGAAAAAGATAATGAAGTGTTGGCTGATTGCAGTCAGCACTCAGCCGATATGCACAAGAAATTCTACCCTGTAAGTACGATACGTTTCATCCATTTGGACTTCGAATCTATCTTCCGGTACAAGATGTTCAAGATTGAAAAACTTCAAAATCTTGAAGTATTAAGAGATTGTCCGGAAATAAACGATGAGAATCAGTTATTTGCTCTTTGTAGATGAACATTTCTGTGGTGCGAAAGCGTACGGAAAGTCCGGGAATAATCTTACAGTTAAGTGTTTTGCTGTGGTTAACCCTACAAAATTCGGCACATACATTGCTATTGCGGTATTCGAGAGTACGAGTTGTCGAGAAGGTGTTCCTTCCATCAGTTGCTGTGTTTTTCACTGAAATTCTCAAATTAATCACCTGCCTACTTTTCATCACTTATGAAGAAAAGAGCATATGCAGGTTATTTAACTTCATCTTTAGATGTTTAGATTTCTCACAAGTTCAAAAGTTTCCTAAGCATATGCAATCTCATAAAGAAGCATTGATTGTTTCCAGTATTTAGCACCACTATTAAGCTACAAATATAGAAATGGTAGATTTTTTTTCTTTAAATAATTTTACAGTTCCAGTACCATAATGAATACCTTAATTTCATATTTAACATGATGGCGTTACAGGACTTGGAAGCAACTGCCGTTGACTATTGCCATTTTATTTAGTTCAAAAGACTAGAAAGAAGCTTTAATTCCATAATTAAATGATTTTCTGATTATGCTTAGGAATGAATTACCGAATTTCAGCATGTTTGGTCTTGTGAAGCGACAGGTGTTTTATAATCTGAAAGATACTTTCAAAGTTTGCATTCCTGCAGTGATCTATATTATACAAAACAATCTTTTTTATGTGGCAGCATCTCATCTGGAAGCAGCAACATATATGGTTATTTTTTCACTTGATAATTTTATAGAAGAGAGAGAGCGGAGAAGGGAAATACTTTTCTCATGATTTTAAAGAAGGAAATATAAATTTAACATTTTCCAGGTGACTGCACAGTTGAAAATTTTCACAACAGCAATATTTGCAGTAATTATGTTGAATAGGAGCATTATTAGGAAGCAGTGGCTAGCTCTTGGTATACTTTTTGTTGGTGTATGTCTTGTTCAGTTAGACCAACAAGGAACAAAGAAAACGTTGTTCATCAGTGATCCTTATTTAGGTAATAGTTTTATAATTTCAAATCATCAGTTCAACCCTTTCAGCTGGTTGCCACTAAAAAAAAAGGTTCTGAAATTTTCATCATGTAACTATTGAGGAGCATGTAGTTGCTCTATTACTGGAAGATGACTGTAGTGTATGCTTTATGCTGTCCTTCTGGATTTAAAATCTTTAGATTTGTAAATTCTTAGGTTGCAACACGAGTAGGTAAATTAATATGGAAACAAAGATTAGCATCTATGGTTGCCGGTAATGCTGGAGTAGGTAATAAATTTCCAAGTTTTAATCTTCTGTTCTTTTCAGGACTTTTGGCTTCTGTCTCTGCATGCATCCTTTCCGGTTTTGCAGGAATATATTTCGAAAAAATTTTGAAAAACAGTCCATCTGTGTCGGTGTGGATGCGTAATGTGCAGTTGGCAATGTTTGGAATACCCTCAAGTTTCACTGCTTCCATTATGAAGGTATTTACATAGAAATATATACAAAATGTATTTTCTATGTTCGTCGTTATATTATATACCGTAGGATTTTTTCTATAAAGACATCTTTCAGGATCATGATACAATTCTTAATGAAGGTATGCTGTATGGTTTTGATATGCTAGTTTGGGTTGTTGTTTTCTGGTATTGCATTGGTGGTTTATCCGTTGCAGTATGTATTAGATATTCTGGCAACATAGCGAAAAATTTTGCAACATCAGCTGCTATCATTATGAGTATGGTAGCATCAATATACATTTTTGATTTCATTCCAAATCCATTATTTTTATTTGGAACTGGATTGGTTATCACCAGTATTTTCCTGTATTCTTCTTCAATTTCTCCATAGTTTTGGTTAAATATTGGATTTCAGGTAATCTGGCTGAACTACTTTTGGGAAAATTAAATTTTTGTCAGAATTGATAGCACTGAAAAATTTTAAAGTCTTCCTTCTCGAGATATTTGAGAACCGTTCGAAAAAATGTGTTCTAAAGACCCCTATTCTAAAGTCCTCTTTTATTCGAATGGTATGTGTGAAGAAGCACATTTTTCTCAGCTGCTACCATTTCACTTTTAGTTGGTAATAATGCACATGTTGAAACAATGTAGCTTCTCGACAGTTTTCCTTCCGTTAATAAGAGTCTAATCCATTTGAAAACTGTAAATCTTTGTTCACTTTAAATATTTATATGTATTATAAGCGAGGCAACATTTAGTTTGTTGATCAATTGATCAAGAAAGTAATAAGTGAAGAGCCGTCCTTAAGTTAATCAGTATTGGTTGCCATTATGAATATAGCTACAAAAAATTTCGACGATATTTGAACAGTTGGTATAATCCCACTTATTTTGACGTTTTGATCTGATCTGAATCGCACACGTTTCTGATCCCGAAGCAGTAAAATTCATGATCTTTTCCGTTTGCTTTTGTCTTACTGCATTTTGTATTTAGCGAACAATTTATTTACCTTTTAAAAATAACAATGAAATAGCCTGTAATACTGTTCTGATACGTATTTCATTTTATATTGAAGATATAGAGAGATATCTTTATTGCTTCGTATCTTGTTTCGTTTTTTTTTTGATACTTCCAATTTTTTTCACTTTATGGCTATGTTCCTTAGAAGTATCATATCACATCGTCATGTCAACTTCTGCCAATATGTTTTATTCGCAAAAGAAGAGAACTCAAGAACACATCTTTTGTATATACTTTTCCCAAATTCTTGCTATTGATTTTTAAACTCGGATACAAATTTATTGGAAAATCTCCCTTTGGAATTTCATTTCTGTGTTCTTTTAACTTTTTTGTCTTCTTTTTTCTTCAGCTCATACTTCCACAAAAAATCCCGTGCAATGATACAAGGAAGTTATTTCATTGAATGAACTTCAGTTTCGTTTACACTGATGTCCGACTATGTGATACGTTATGTCTTTCATCCTATTTCTTATTTTTAAGTTCACTTGGGGAAAAAAAAAAGTTTTACAACGTGAAATCAATAAACGTATATATCTTGATGGGAGTCGCAGATTTCAAATATTTTAGGAATACATTAAAATTTCAAACAACGTTAATTACTATCACACTAGTAACATTTCGATAAAAATCCGGACACAAGAGGAGTGTCAAATTATAGTTTGTTTGCTACAGATCTCTTTCCATGTATGACATCTGCGCTTCCATTACATGACATAGTATCATAATGTATAACAAATATTAATGAGGTAATGGTATCCGACTATCTATAAAGCTATCAATGGAAATGGATGACCCCAAATAGTTTCACTATTATTGTACTGCAAGGTCAGGATTTTGCGAGCGACGAAAGAGGAAAATTGTATGGGAAGTGACAGGGATAAATTGTTGAATTATTCATTTTGTTGAATTATTTCATAATTCATGGAGAGACATTAACCATTCCGGTCTTAGCAGACCACCAACTTTTCACTGCCTCTCCCACACTCCCCTTACAGCTCAAATCACGTTGGAGGAACGACAAATAGAAATGGAAGAGCTGTTACGGTTTTCATAATGGCCCGAGCCGAATGAAACGGTTGGGTTGCTGGCATAGACGTACATTGCTGAATTTTATGGAGGAATGCATGGTTTTCGGATCCCGGGTGGGTTTTGGTCGGTGTTGTTTGTAAGGAGGTGGTAATTTCGCGATTGAGACTGTTCGTTGGCCAGGTAGTGACACACAGTGGACCTCGGAGCACAGAAGAGAGGGCTTCGGTTAGTTCCTGTTTACCGCAACTCAGGATTGGTAAGGGTTAGAGATCGCAATAATTTTCGTATTATTGGTGTCATTCCATACAAAGTCCCCATGTTTGGAACGATTCAAAATGTCCGTTAGTTCAAGATATCTGTTTAGTTGTGGGCTGCTTATTTATGTTTCCTTAGTAAAACATATTCCCACATACATTGGGAACTCTGTTATCATCATATTTACATGAATACTTACAGTCGGTAATGTTGAAGTTATAGATTTGTCTGGAAAATAGGCTTCCTAGATTTCAGGTTCTGACTGAAATGTCTATGTTTAAAGATGTTGCTAGTGATAAATGAAATCTGTTTTGGCGTCAGCAATGATGTCAAAACAGGAAAAAGAGCGGGTGAACAAACTGTCGGCGTCGTTTCACAGCTTCTGTTTCTTGGTTTTTTTCTTCAGATTTGATCATATTAACATATCACTTCACGGTAATGTCCGGTCGTCAAGGAGGCAAAGCAAAGCCCTTAAAGAAGCCTAAAAAGGGACAGAAAGAGCTCAGCGAGGTTTGGTCTAGCTTATTTCGTCGAACAAATAAGGACAATTCCTTTGCATAACTGAAACTTTGGCAATTTAAAAAGGTCATCTTAGATTCTTCCACATATGTTTCTCTCCAGATTATAATCATAAAGGGTTCCCTTTTGTTTGGAAGGAGATGTGGATGGATCAAATGACAAAGTTCGTAAGAATTTTGGAACTTCATTTTTTCTTCCTTTGTTCAGAAATTTGTTACCAGAGGGAAGATTTCTGCAATAATGTGTCCGTTTTTAGGAAGACATTGCATTCCGAAAAAAGCAACAGGACGAAGCCAAGAAATTGCAGGAAGTTCAAGCAAAAGCAGCGCAAAAGGGGCCGCTTGTTGGTGGTGGTATCAAGAAATCAGGCAAAAAATAGAGCTTCACTGATAAGCTGTGACATTATTTCTTCGTATTATGGGTCTCTCATGTCTCAACACCATATAATCATATAAATTACTGATGAATAATCACACATACATTAACTGGTTTGTAAATTTTTCATAACAGCTGAAGAGTCTTTTCAAATTTAAGGAGATGAAAGGGAGATAACAGATTGGCTGCTGTTTATGTGCACATATGTATATGTTCGTATATATGTGCATGAGAATGAATAATTTTATTAAGGATTCATCTTTTTTAGGCCATCGGGTTTGATTTCATGAGTTGCAAATCGCTTGCCACCATTTCCTTGACGAGCTCCTGAAAAGTAATACTTGCGCTAGTACTGCGTACATTAATTTATTATAGGTCTTCTCCCGAGTAGAAAATCCAGTGATCCACATACAGAAAAAGAACCCAATGCTCCTCGCCATAATATACTAAAATGGAAAAATGAAACCTTCAGTACCATAAATTATGTATTGTTTATCATAACACCACTGTATGCTCTAGGATGAGTAATGGTATGACAAGGAGTGGAGAATTTATGACATACCTCAAGTGTAATTTTTGCCTCCCAATTGAGTTTTTGTTTCGCTTTTGTGGGATCGCCTATGAGTAGGTCTACCTGAAACTCATTTCGTCTTTATCACCCACTTAGACTAGTAATAGTCGCACAGATACAATGAAACCTCCAGTAACTTGAAGCTGTTATGCAAGTGGCAGCTGGTTAAGCAGAATCAGGCCTGGAACAACTTCACGGACGCGTTTATTGGGAAATTCCAACGAAAGTTCTTCATGATACTCTTCAGCCTTAATCAAGCCTCAAACTACTTACCTCCGTTGGTCTGTAATATTTCGGACTGACTCGGACCCGAATAATACCAGTGTCTTTTTCTTTCCCAACTTCATGCACTCCTTCACCTTCCCAACTGCAAAATGGGAACAGAGATGAAAAACCGACCAGAATAGCGCATACTTTCAGTCAGTAATTGTATTGAATGGGAAGTCGAGTATTAGGTTACCTATGGCAAGCTAAGAAACCGGATATTAAGATTTCGGTCAAGTAAGAGGCTAGAGACACTAATTAAATAGTAGGGGCCTTCAAACTACTAACAGTTTATCACTGTAACCATCACAAGCATACTGCGCATGGTGGGATCTAACCCATATCAGACCACATGCTTAGCACAGATACTTAGCTTCAAATACATGGCTTAATCTGCCGTGAAACATCATTTATAAAGTGTGCATGCTGTGTAGTATGTATCACCTATAGAACAAACAAAACAAATGAACCAGAAAGGGCAGAGGATTTTTTTGATAGACCACCTACGGCTAGGACGTACACGGGTTCTCGAAAAGGCTCTCAACAGTTAGATAGTTTCCCCTATCTACTGTTCAGGTCATTGATAAAAGTCCTTACATTATTGTTTTTCCAATTTCCTCGAAAGCAAGTTCGGCAAAACGGCGAACAGTGTAGCTCTTCCCTGTTGCAATTACAAAATCATCGGGTTGGTCATATTGCAGTATTTTCCACATGGCCTGTATATCAAAACTACCAGTGAAATCCAATTCTCAACTGTTAAAATTCATTGTATGGCTCCGGACAGTTTATCACCGTAACCACCACAAGTATACTGCGCATGGTGTGATCTAATCCAAACCAAACCACATGCTTGGCAAAGATACTTAGCTTTACGCAAAATTGTTGGTTGGTGAAACTACAAGTTGCAACTACGGAAGCACTTACCTCGACATACTCTTTGGCATGTCCCCAATCACGACTGGAGCTCAAATTCCCCAGTTCCAGTATTTCTTGCTGCCCTAAGGCAATTTTTGCAACTGCTCTCGTGATCTTTCGTGTAACAAACGTCTCGCCTGTATTATATGGGTATATATTTTGTCTGATAGTACGAACAGTACAAATAAAAGGAAGAGAAAATTACCTCGTCGTGGACTTTCATGATTGAATAAAATTCCATTGCAAGCAAACATGTTATATGCTTCACGGTAATTGACCACAATCCAATAGCTATAAAGCTTCGCGGCAGCTGCAATCAAAAAAAAAAGAAACATCAAGATTATTTCAGTTATTCAGTTACTGAACAATCATGACTACAGATGGTATTACTGCATCCTATGTTCTACCTTATGTATAAAACTTCTTAGGGTTATAATACCAAATATATGTCAAAATATTCTCTCCTCATTTGTCTGCCAGTCAAAATGTCGATGACTGTTTTTATCATACAGATCTTAAGATATTGCCAGAATGATAATATACGATAGACTTTTTTCTAATTATCAAATATGCTGAACAGAACATACCATAAGGTGAACGAGGATAGAAGGGTGTGGTTTCTTTTTGAGGCACTTCTTGTACTTTACCATACAATTCAGATGTTGAGGCTTGGTAGAACCTTACTTTGTTAGTTAAACCACAAGCATGAATGGAATCTAGTAGACGCAATGTCCCGACAGCGTCAACTTCAGCTGTGTATTCTGGCAAGTCAAAGGATACCTGTAACGACCATTATCCAGCCATCAGACAAAAAATAATTTAGCTAATATTTAACGTATTAAACCCTCGAAGATGTAAAAATGACTAAAAAAAATTAAAAAAATTCTAATAGTACTGCCAACCTTGACATGACTTTGAGCAGCTAGGTGATACACTTCTGTTGGTTGGATCTGACTGACAAGTTTAATCAGACAGGATGAATCCGTCATGTCACCATAATGAAGTGTGAAGCTGGAATCAGCATGATGAGTTACTGGATTTGAATACAAATGCTCGATCCGGGATGTGTTGAAGGATGACGATCGCCGAATAATTCCATGTACTTCATAACCCTTCGATAACAGTAATTCGGCAAGGTAAGAACCATCCTGAAACAATTAAAAGACCGTTAGCATTAGAATCGACCACTAATTTGATAATTTGGATCAAATAGAATCATTTTAAATCAACTTACCTAATTTAACTAAATCACTTTGAATCAGTTTAAATATAACTATTACGAAGCGGTGACTCCATGAAGGTAATACTATTGGGTAGTGGATGTTGAGTAAAAAATTAATGAACCCGAATTAATGAACCTAATGAACATAATGAAAATAATGAACAATTAATGAACCCGAACTGCACTACCTAATATACCTCTGCAAAAAATTTCACTTAATTAACTTACCTGACAGAACTATATATAGGAAAATGAATGAGAAAAATAAGTAGAAATGAGATACTGAAAGGAAAAAAATATATAAATGTTTACCTGTCCGGATATCCCCGTAATTAAAGCAATTTTCGGCGTCCGAAATTTACATTTTTCCACTTCAGAGATTGGTTTCATTGAATGCCTATTACCAAGACAGTCTTCTAACGCTTCTGTATTCATTTTCGTTGCATTAAAGCATCACCAGAGATAGGGTGACTATGAATCAACCGCACGAAAATTATTGAAAACAGAATAATACTGTGGGAATCATTTTTGCATACTAAAATTTTAGAGAAACTACTATTCAATACTTTCCTTTTTCTTTTATGCGAAATTTGTATTATTTCCCGCTGTATACCTTCAGATGTATTCATATCTTACTAATACAATTATCTTTCTGTTTGCTAACAATAATAGTAAAATAGAGAGGAAATCATTAATGCTTCGTTTGTTGCAATCGTTAGAACATAAACATTCTCATTAAGCAGCGACAATATCAATAATTTCTAAATATTAACTTCAATAAGCAGTGAGAATGAACAAATCATTTGATATCACTGTACAAAAAGAATCCTTGCTGCTGTTAATGAATATAAAACGTTATCACTCATAATGTAATAACTTGATAATAAAGTTATGATGAAAAGAACCATAACTTCAATATCGATGAATTCCCAATAACTACTATGTCAATTTGCATAAATATAAAATCGACAGCTCGAGTTCTTATCGAATGATAAGGTTGATAATCAGTCAGATCTCTATTTGACCCTTTTTAGCTATTCATTGCTCAATCATCAAATATCTATTCCGATATTTAAACCCATGGAAAAAACAAAAATATTGTCTTTCTACTCGCAGCAAAAATGATTATAAGGATTTCAAAAGAAATTCTTATCTTCTACGATTGCTTTTAAATAAATATTACCACAAAGTAGTTCACGTTAATATGTGACATGATGACTACCTTTTCTGCAACTTCCTTATTTTTGGATTGCTAAATTTGCTAGTTTCATCCAGGACAGGCGAAAGTTAGGGATGACACTTTTAAAATTTGAACATTTCAATTCAGTTGTTAAAAACATTATTAGTACTAACAACAGTGGGCAACATGACAGTGTGAGCACAGAAATTGACATAGAAATCTATCTTAAGATCAAACTTAGACTTTTCTTCCCATCAACCGTATCAAATTCTCTAAAAATAGGCAGAGTAATAATATTCAAATCAAACTCATTCCACACAATTTTGGAGTCCATTCCAGAACCTCAGGCTGGATTTGTCGGAATTATTGGGAATGTTTAAACAAAATTAAAAAGGAACTTAAGCTTCCATCTATTTGTTTCATAACATGAAAAAAAAAACAAGCTTCAGTCATTGAACCAGCAACTTCACATCATATACTTACTTGTAGGTCCAAACAACAAATCAAAATATAACCGACATCCTTTTTGAACTAGAAAATTTGAGGAAAGCTGAAAAGTTTAAAAGTAGAAATGTGCTTCCTCAATTGCTAAACAGTCTTTTTCTGAACATCAATAAATTTCATAAAAGCTTAGCAAAAAAAAAAGAAACGTAAGTATTTTTGGAATTAAATGTTCTAGGAATGACTTTGCACACTGCCAAATAAAAAGGGAACGAATGCCATTGCTATCACATATTCCACAGATGAAGGAGTGATAATGCATATCAACTTGCTGCACAAATGCCATCCAATTTTCGGCAATTCCGATCATTTATTTATGGTTATAAAATGATTTTAAAACAATATTTTGAAGAGAATCGAATGAGCTAAAACCCACAATTATAATCCTTAGTTATACGAGAGACAAACCATTATCTATCAATGATTTCAAGCAGTATGGGAACAATGCTTTTCAGTAAAACAAGGATTCCCTCTGTTTATTCAACTAGGAGTAAGGCAACTATAACCATAATAATGAATAAATTCGGTCCTGTGTAATACTGTCTCATTTACAAAACCTGTTGTTCTGCTTGGTTCGATAAAAGCCGCAAAGATATTTAGTATTCTTCGTGGGAAATAGGAACTACATCAAAATAAAGTATCACAAATTCAAAAACTATTCAAAGTAAATTTTAAAGAATAAAAAACATAAACTAAACGAAAAAAATGATTAACATGACTTCATCCTTCATCGATGTTCGAGATATGAAAACACTGAATGCTTGGAGAAACATTACAAAGCTTACATATTATTTCACATGGCACGAGATTTACAATATGTCCTGTGATAAATACTGCAGCAAAAAAAAGCTACTTCACTTTTTCTCGCCCCTGGAAGTACTTCATAAAACTTTTATTTCAGTTCCTTTCAAATAAATTTAGTAGCTAATATGAATAGATAAACCACCATTTATTCCTGATTTTGTTTATCACAGCCTAATCTTCGTAAGCGAATCGGAGTAAGTAACTCTTACATTTGCCGGAACTTTCTGGAAAATACTTGAAAATGCGAAACGACCACTAATACAAAAGAGATAAAAAATAAGCTATTCCCGTAGCTTCGAACATGTCTTATAAAAACTTTATGTGAAAAGAAAAAAAGTGAGAAGGGAGCAAATAAAAATGTTTGAAAAGATTTGTCCTCACTTTGCATGAAAAGTTAAACTGAACGAGTATGTAAATAGCATTTGCAGCATTGTAATTTAACCATGTTATATTCAAGAAACTCACATTTGTTCGGAAGAAATAAAGAGATGAAATTTCTTCCTTGCGAAAAATCAACAGATGATAAAAGGATAAAAAGAATTATTCCTATATAAATCTATCGATTGGAAGAGGATAGGAGCACTTTAAAACCAAATGCGAGACAATAAATGATAACAAATTGTATCCTGACGTAGTTACTACAGTCTTTTTCATACGTGACTTTTTTATACGTTATTGTTGTGTAAAAAAAAATAAAATTCCCAATTTTTCGGAGTAGGTGCGATCAGCTACCGTTGTCGTGTTGCATGGATATTATATAAGAGGAATCAAAATTCTGCTAGCTATAATTTTTCTGGCTCTTGTCCTTACATCTTTAATTATCTTTGTTCTCCCTTCTAAAAAGGAAAGCCTTCCGGTAAAGGTAAGCGTAAAAACCTTGTAGTGTAGGTTTCGTCTTGTGACCCAACATACTGTTTCTTTCAAAGCGAGCAATTGCTTCATTAGCATTTTTGGTTTTTGTCAAGATTCATTGTGCCTATTATATTTACTTTCTCGATAGAAAGTTGAGACAAATCAAAAAAAATCAGAAATTGATGACTCTAAAATGAAATTAAATCGTCAGAAGAGAAAACCAGCAGTCACAATAATGAGGACAGAAAATGATTTCATTAGTAGTAAAAGCTTATGAAAATTGGATAAATGCACAGAAAATAAGTGAATATTAACAAGCAGCTATGAAAAATTTGAATAAAAGAAGATGGGACAAAATAGAAAGCATTAGAAAGCAATATTTAGTTCCTCCTATATCAATACATTGGGCGGTACTAGCTGAAAAAATCAAGATTATATCAGAAATATGCTTATACTAAAACAGTGAAGAGTGGAGAACCAGAGTATGTTAACATTAACATAGCTATTCTTCTATCCGTATTAACATAGCTATGCGTATTAATATACGCAGCTATTTTTCCAATATTGATTCTCTTTCAATATTTTCGATCGTATTTTCGGCTGACTCAGATTTGTATGAAACTTGTTCCAACTTAATGCAAATGCGTCTACACATTTTTCTTCTGTGCAAACTTAAATTTAAAATCACACGAAGTGAACGCTACGGTACCGAGTAACACAAAAAGACAGCCTACACAGTGCATAAATGTGAAAGGATTTTTGAATAAAATAACTGAAAGAACCATCGACAAGAATTTTCTTAATGTTATAATCATTGCTACATTCAGCGATGTAGTTAGCGAAATAAGCGTGTGTACATTCGAGATACATATCCATCTGCAACTTAGTACAATTTCCAATTTTAGAATAATTATCCATGACTTTATAAATTTAGTTCAGAAATAGAAAACTATTTTGTAGTTTTCTTTTTTCCTTCTTTTTTTTATTTCAGAAAAATATGGTTGCTAATTAATCATAGAGAGCATCTCAACACTTACTTATTCAAGTTTTCTTTCTTTGTCAGGAGTTTCTACCACCTTAATAGTTCCGCTCTGAGAACTCAACTCATGTGAGTAGTAAAATTACGCTAATCTGGAAAGAATGACGTACAAAAATATGGAAAATTGGACTCTTAGCATCTCGACTCATATTGTTCTCGAAGAATAATGTGTGATTAAAACAAATAAGTGCTTACAGTGGCAACCTATCACCACAGTTGAAAATATAAAATTTACTGAAAAAGAAAAACTCACTGGAATATGCAATTCAAAACCATGTAAATCCATAACGAAGGAATCGGAAAACGCAGTCCAAAAATGAAGAAAGTATCCGAATTGTTAAAATGAATTATTGCTTGCTGGATATCATTATGAAAGAAAAGAAAGCCCGGTAACGACAGAGCATGCTGCAAAATTTCCTGTGTGCAGACTTATTTTCAGAAAAATTAGAGTAAACCTATTGATAAAGAAAATTGTCAAAGAAGACATTAAGCTTACAATAAAAAATATTGCTTCTTGCGAATGGTTCCCATATGTACGATAAAGATCTTCTTGGCATATGCCTAGATAAGCGGACAAAAGCGCTGCAAACATTAGCAAAAATATTCCTGAAACAAAAGGCCAATTAGTGGAGCATAAACACTGCACAGTGTTGGAATTTTGTAAAACAAAAACAATGATGTATAAATAGTGGATGAAAGGGGCTGCATCACTGTTTTCACCGGTAAGCCAGATCACCCACCGATTCTTATATTCCTAAATGAAGTCTAATCTCATAGCCTTCCGGGATCATCAATCTAAACATTAGACCACACATTCCTTTACAGCTGATGTCTGCCCCACTGATCTTAAATAGTTTTAGACAATTATATCTTATATTAAGAGCACAAGTTCAAATAATAATAAAACTGTTGAAACTTCGATTAGAAAACATTTCAAATTGCAAATAATACGTTTGTAATGAATTAGCACTTTTAATGGATGGCAAAAAGCAGCAAAAAATATCAAAAGAAAAAAAACGATGATGAAAAACAAATATTAAACCTGGACTGGAATACAAAATAGCTGATGGCTGTACACTCTCCCCATCCTTTTCTACAGTGGGATGTTTCGAAAATTGGTCGGCCAATGTGAAAAGTACAACACCCATACTAACGAACATTATGGACAACAGCTTTCCCCACGAACAAATTCTGTTCCTCAAACAAAAACCCAGCAACACATTTGCGAGCAATGTTCCCTGCACAACAGATTGTTATTAACCAAAGAAACAATAATTGTAATTTCTGAAAACAGTTTTGACAGCATCTCCAAATGTCTACATAACTTGGGGGAGAAATAAAAATCCAAAAAACAAACTTTCTTATCACCAGTGATTGGGGACGAAAGACAACTATTGTTGAGCTAAACTGAAATCTTCAACCATGGACTTTTGCTAAATCCTATCAGGACACCAGGATATGTATAGACACTCTACCTAACAGCTGGTGTAGAATTTTATACCACTAAAATGTAGAATTTGTATGTCAAAAGAGCTATATAACGTCTTCCCGAAAGAAATCTACAGTACCGGCAATTAAAATTATCCTATTTTTCTGCTTAAAGCACCGCTGGTTACAGTTAAGCTTCTACACCACTAAAACTTCAGTGGACATATTTCAAGTCCCGGCAAACATCTTTACAATCAATAATGCCAAACTTGAGCTGGAAAGCACAACAGTCATGGGTGAAAAAATTCCCCGTTCTATTCTTCATGGATGCACTTTAAAAAAAATCAACGATGTTTGAGTAATCTCATTATACGACAAAATAAAAGATCACCGAGCGAAATATGATAAACAGCGGTATGGAAACATCATATCGCAATGCCAAGTTGTTTGAAATATTCACCACAAAGAATATAAGAACAATACGTGCATAACCACTAAAACAAACTCATTCTAAGGCAAACTCGTCCAAGAATAAAGTTTTGTTGTCAAGTGACTGAAAGTATACTTGTGGTGCTCGAATAGTAAACTTATACAGCATTACATAAGTTGCTGGCAGATGAACAGCACTTCTTTCACCTCTCTTTTTTTCCCATATCCTTCTTACATCACCAGGATTACCGAGCCATTCCAAATAAATGTAAACGTGTAAGTGATTTTCTGCTTAGATCATTTAAGAATTAGGGCACTGATGCTACTTGTCATGTCATGCCCTAAACAATAAATGAAAAGTGGAAAAATAACCGCAACAGTGGTACTTTGCTCCGTGGTAACCGCTTGAAATAATGCGACTGCTTGAAAAAACCAATGATCGATACGAAAATGAATGTTGAGCAAGTCAGCAAGTTCATACATTCAGGACTATGCCTTAAAGTATCTCTTTTCGAAGTATGGAAGCATTCCTATGCAATGGAAAAACTCCTTTCTTCCCGTTTGTCTTTCAGGAATAATTTTGAATTATTATATGTCTGTAGATAAAGTGAGATACCTTGTAAGGATTTCAACAGTGACCATACAACCAATGCAGCCAGTCAAGATTCCTCCAACTGCAATCTCCGTCATGACACGATGCTCGTTTCCTCGCACTTTTTAGTACTCTATACGAACAATTCGAGATTATTTGCAAATAATCGTCGTTCCGAAAAGCCAACATTTGCAAGAAAACAGTCTCATAGTAATGAGTGAAAAAGCGGCTAACAGTAGAATGTTCGTTTCTTTCGCTTTTAACCAGTGATTTCGAGAATTGAGAGCCAGATCAACAAGAAACAACATCAGATCTGGTTATATGCTAATTTCTTCGACAACATGAAAATCTGCAAGCCGATTCGTTAACCTGATAAAGCAAAATCCATTGGAGTTAAAGTTAATTTTCATTTTCGATACTTGCACGCTCGGCTGCTCACGCGCAATCGTCTTCGGCAGCTTTCACTCTTTGGCCTGTCTAAAAAGGGGTAGGAAAGCGTATAAAAAGAGGTATTTCAAGGTCTTTATGTAAAATTCATAAGAATGAAACTCGACCCCTGACCAAAACTTTGGTTAGCAGAAACTACAGGTTGTAGTACAAGTTTTAGAATTCTTTCCGTTAAGTCGCAAGAGTTAGTGATGTCTTGTCCCTCATAGTTTAGCAGATGGTATTATGAGAGACAGTAAAAGTAGAGAAACAATCAATAAAACCAGCGAAGCCTGCAAAAGGTTCTATTCGGGCTTGTTACATTCTCCCCTGTAACACCGTGAAACAGAAGAGACCCGTAAGTTACTTGGAAGACATACTTCAGCCCATCATCCCTGTGCGGTTCCTCCGAGAACTTGAAGACTGGTCGATCTCTAGCCATTCTCGAGAAATGACACCCATCTGGCAAGATATCACCGCAGCATACTGCGGTCTATTCTATTTTGCGGTGTCGCAGGTTCGTTTTTACTTTTCTCTTTGGGTATCACTGCATCTTCATTGAAATGTGGAGGACAACATCGTGGAAGAAACTCGATGAAAACGCAGCCTAACAAGGCATTACAATCTATTCCATTGGCATAAATTTCCAGACAATTCAACCTTCTGAGCTAGTTGGTGATGAAAATTTTATGACGATTCGGACTGCTTGAAGGTACCAATTTTTTTATGTGGTGGTTATTTTTCATTCTTTCCTTACCTCTAATATTTCAGTACGCTTAATGGATGGACGTAGATCACGCGGCGCGAATAAGGCTTCAACGTCGGCTATGTGTTCATCGTTAGGTGACTGCTCATTATCAACCGGTAAACGGAAGAAAATGAACGGTTCGACGTGTGATCCGGCCTATGATTTCTTTGCCGGTATCGATCTTATAAAGGTTACTATAGTTTTCCATTTTCGATCACTAAAGGTTACTATAGTTTTCCATTTTCGATCACTAATGCGCATTAATCATTCACATCCGACCAGAACACCCATCGGCGATGCACCCATGGCAATGGATGCTATATATTCTCAAAATATCAGTTATCCAAGAAGGTAATACCGTAGTAGACATACTGTATTGAACACCACAAACTCGTAGCAGTAATAGTGATAAGACAAGTGATGTGTTAAATCTCAATTAGGCAAATATTCGTTAATGCTTGCCTTCCGAATTTAGCGGCATTAATGGCCAAACTTTAAAGACGATGTAATCGTTATGTATTGCTGTGTTCCGTAAGCCATTTTCAATTTCAGTATCTTCGATTTCACCTGAAGCAAACCGATACGGAACAGAAAAATGCACTGCTTTTCGAAATATTGGTAAAAATGATTCCAATTCTAATGTTATCATCTTCATTTTAATCCCAAAACTTTCGTTTGCTTTGATTGTTATCATTAATATCTAAACGTATTTTCCAGAATGTCTGTGATTCATCAAATTTGGAATACGCAACTTCGTTGTTGGAAGAAATGCGCAGCAATGTAAGCACTGAAGAGGTCGACTTGTTTAGTTCACTCCCGCTGCCAATTGCTTTAAAGATTTTTCGTCTTTTGGACCCAAGTGAGAATCTCATTACATTTTCACATTGTTATAACCGAAAATATGTTTTTAAAAAGTACATTATCAAACATGAGTTTCATCAGGTTGGTGAAACATTAGGGAGGTGAAGTTCATATAAGTCAAATGAAGTCCTGTAATAAAGTTTGCATTAGGAAGAGATAATCAGCGTGATTATCAGGACTGTTAATATGAGTAATTTAATGCATTTTTTTTCAAAGCCAAGCGCACGATAGTAACTTTTGGATATTGTCATGCATCTCACTTGAAGTAAAATCATTATACCGGTCGTGAGAATTATCTTTAATCTATTCACTGGGGTTGTCAGTGATACTTGTAAACAATAGTCTAGCGTTTGTTGATTGTATAGGCCACATTTTTGGTTTGATTGGCTTGCTTGGAGATTCTGTGATTTGTTACTGTTCTGATGCAACGATGCCCATGTTTACTACGTCTTCATCACGTTGTTTCGTCAGAATTGTGTTTAACAAAAAAAAAGTTCATGAAAAATGGCGAATTTCTTATAAGGAACTTTGTGGATTTTCAATTTTATTGTAGAGTCACTTTGCAAATGCATGTTGGTATGTACTGCTTGGAGAAATTTATGTATGGCACCATGCTTATGGAAAAGACTGTGCACACTTCAGCGCATGTTTCGACTGTGCTCAGCAGAAACTGAAAATGAACAGCTAAAGAAGCACACAACACACGATGGTGTAGTACTGTGGAAGGAAGCATTTAGTGAGCGTTATCGTTTATGGAGGAACTGGCATGCAGGTCGCTGTGTTATCCGCACATTTGAGGGCCACACTCAAGGTAATTTTCTTGCACCATTCATAAAATTGTTGTTAGCTGTGTTTTGCACTAATATCTTGATTATTATAAATTAGATTTACTGATGAGAGGTTGGTAGCGTTACATTTTGCAAGTGAGATCACTTAGTTTATCAGGTCGCGTCAAGCTGATCATGGTGTCTTATTCGTCATATTTTTTCCTAATCACTGGTCATAGCTACACTAGTATTATAGCCACAGGATGTTTCAGGTATATCTTGCGTTCAGTTCGACGGTGACCGCATTGTGTCCGGAAGCAGCGATAATACAATTCGTGTTTGGGATATAAAGAGTTCTACTATGCCAGGTTTAGGTACCATGACACTGACGGGCCATTCTGATACTGTTCGTTGTTTGCACTTAAGCGGTAATCGACTGGCTTCTGGCTCCAATGATTTAACAATCAAGGTTAGTTGAATTCATTAAATTTTGTAGACGCTACAGCAAAAGTTCATATTTTTAAGCCCAAAAATTTTTTGACAACTTTTTCAGCTATACTAGCGCTTTTAAAGACTTTATTATTATTGTTAAGTAGCTTACTACATCCGCATTTCATACTGGATAACAGCAATTAGGAAATCAGAGGGTTTAACATAGAGGAATAAGTGTAATTCGAATGCTCCCAGTATATGATTTTAACGAGATAACTTTATTATAGTGAAAAAATCTTGAAGGTTTGGGGTCTTGCTGTAAATCGGACGTGGTCTTCTATTGCTTGTCGCCAAACAATGATCGGGCATACGAACTTCGTACGATGTTTGCAGGTAGTTCCTTCAGTTTCGTCTAAAAGAATACTATGCCCTTTTTTTTCAGTGAAAACTAACTTGTGTTGTTTTTTAACACTACCGTAGTTTTGGTTATAAAATTGAGATAGTTATGTCACTGATGGCATTCAAAGTGGATTTCGTTTAGATGGAGAAGGAACGATTGATCAGCGGTTCGTATGACCATACTTTAAAAATATGGTCTACCGAAACAGGGCAATGTACGAAGACTTTAATGTAAGCTTCACAAGAATCAAATCGTTGAGACTATCTGATCACTATACCTCCTAGCAGTGGCGTGATTTGTCAAAAGAAGCTCATTGTGGGAATTGTCGCCGATTATAAATATTTATAAATATCTATTTTCGCCTTAATTTACCATAAAGTTGCATTTGCTGCAGTTCTTCATCTGGTATCCTTATATAATAATGTACTTGTTTCAGGGGACATAATGGAGCAGTGATCTGCATGCAATCCGACGGACACTTGCTTGTATCGGGATCGGCTGATCTATCGATGAAAGTTAGTTTGTCAGTCTTCGAATACAAATGATTCTGAGAAAGGTGTCTGACAATTAAATGAAGACGCTTTAAGAAATCGTTCTTTTTTTTGTTGCTATTTTTAGCACAAGTTTTATTACGCTGAATAAAGTTCACTTTCATTGTAAAGACATTTCTTTAAGTGCTGGGATGAGCGAATGGATATCTGTGCGATGACTTTGCATAACGCGCACGACAATGCAGTTACATGTCTTCGATTCGATAATGAGAGAATTGTGTCGGGATCTGTCGATCGAACAATTAAGGTTAGATTTCTCCAATTTTTATGCGTAAAATTGCTTGCACATCATTTAGTGCCCTAATCAGTGCTGACGATTATCATTTATGCATGTTGAAACTTAATTTTCAGGTAACAAGTTGTAGCTCGTTTTTCAGCAACTAGGAAGTTTCTTCCTATTTAAAATGATAGCCAGGATACGTAAGCCTAAAATATTACGAACTGGAAGCGCTGCAGGTCAAATCAAGGTTTTCCTGGCAAACGCATTTTTTTGAAACATAAAAGATTAAAAATGTTTGTTGGAATGTCTGAGTTCTTTTTGAAGGTGAATTAGGATGAATTTTATGAGTTTTAAGATGTGGGATCTACGAACTGGGAAATGTGTGCAAACATTGGATTGGAAATTAAGTGAAGGTCATACAGGTGTAGTTCGATGCCTTCAGGTCGATTCATGGAGAATTGTCTCAGCAGCAGATGACCGTACTATCAAAGTATGTTCTCTGTTTTTTCGCTCATAAATTATTTTAATAATTCTGACAGTTTGTTTTATCTGATCTTCCGCAATAAATCATGTAAAATTCAGGTGTGGAATTTACATACGGGTGAAAGATTATGTACTCTTCATAGCCATACCGACGGTGTTACATGTGTACAATTCAGTGATCAACAAATTGTATCGGGGTCTTATGACATGACCGTCAAATTATGGGATTTTGGTGTCTTTTGAAGACCTATGATTCTTTCTTTGAAAAACTTCACTTGGCGTGTACACATCATTGTTATTTCTATGATATTTTCAATTATGCATTGACGTTCTTTGACTGAATATACGTACGTTACCAAAGATAGAGATTAATTAACTACTGCCAAATTTAATGACGGGGTGGTTTGATGCATGTTTTTTCCAAAACATTTAAGTTTTTCTGACCCATCATTTTTGATGATTGGTAGGTGGAAGGAGACGGTAGTTTAATGTCAGGGAATATATATATATAATGGCAGTAGTGGTTCTCATGAATGTTTTCATGAACTTCAGGCTGTGAGAAATTTCACTCATTCATGACACATCTAATATAGAGTAGTTGTAGGTCATCATTGTTGAATTATAAATTTCAGTGATCAGTGCACATGTTTGTATTTTCTTATTAAGTAGATCAGTACTACTAAGCGAACTCACATTGAGCTCAATGTATGTATTGCGAATATTTATAATTATCATTGTATAGAGTAGGATTCGGTATTACAAATAAATATTTTTGCATTATTCCATTGTTGGTGATTCAGACATTGGTTAGATTCTCCATATTGTTTTTCTCTTTTTTGGATTCTTAATTTTGTTTCAAATTTGATTTTTTTAGGTTGTACGCATAACAGTATATTTTCAGATTTAGATAGTCGCTGAGGAGAAATATTTTCTAGAATGGAATGCAGTATTAATCGTCAAGCAACAAGCTCCTCAAATGAAAGTGATTCGGAGAGTGGGGAGGATGTTGTTGAGAAACTTCCGTTCAACTTAGGTAAACCGAAATTTTTATACTGATTGACAGATTTGTTTCGTAGTTTAATATGTGGTTCATCAATGTGCAGATCAAAGCGCAAGCGCTTTTTTGTCACCTACCATCATCCGGATGTTGCATCTCTTCAGAGCCGTTAGGCTCTCTCGATAATGCGACCTGTTGTGCAAGTGCCATATATAGGTTTTCGAAAAGTAAATTCCAGTCTTTATGTTTTACTGGCTTCAGATAACAGTTTTAGTGACTTTCAGCAATGTTTGATTTCAAGCAGTGTGATCCGAAGCGATGTACAGGGAAAAAGCTGGAACGTTATGGATTTGTTAAAGTTTTAAAGCTAGGAACTAAATTTCCTGGTTTGCTGCTTTCTCCCAATGGTGAACGAACAATTTCTGCTGCCGATCTCGCATATATTAAAAATGGCGGCCTTGCTGTTGTAGATTGTAGTTGGAATCAGGTTTTCCTGTTTTTGATCTTCATCTCGAGTTAAGTTTCTCATGTCGCTTATAGTAAAGTGAAATTGAACAGAAATTCGGCTTCAATAAATATAGAATTGCATTTCTATTTGATTGCAAACTTTGTTGTTTTCTATCACTTCAGGTCGCGAATGTTGATTTAAATAGAGCAAGAGCTTCGCATCATCGTCTTTTGCCATATTTAGTTGCTGCAAATCCGGTGAATTTTGGGAAGCCATGCCAACTGAGTTGCGTTGAAGCATTTGCAGCGGGTCTGTACATGATTGGTCTGAAGAGCAATGCACAGTTGCTTCTTTCGAAATTCAAGTGGGGTCCGAATTTTTTGAAAATGAATGAAGATTTGTTGGATGCATATGCGGCGTGCGAAAATGGTGCTGAGGTTATTGCCCGACAGAATGCTCATCTGAGAACACTGGCAAAAGAAGCAAGTGAAATGAAGCAGCGACCGGTTGACATGCCCAAATCGGATTCCGAAACTGATAATGATGATAATGGCGAGAATGGTGATAATGGCGAACTTAACTAAACTAGTTAAGATCGTGTGATGTTAATTTTTGTTGATTTTTCACTTTTACTAATAAGGAAGTTCGGACAATATGTATATATATATATGTATGTACATATATATATATGTATATATATATAGTGCTATTTTTTACGGCCAAAATTTTTTTAGTATTGATCCTTTTTCCGAATACTCCAGCCTTTGCTGTTAGCACAATATGTAGATGACGTAATGGATTTTAAGATGACATATAGCACGTCAAAGGTGCTTTTCCTTCTTTAAGAATGGATGGTCTTTGAAATAGGCAACTGGTTAAATATAGAAATCATCAAATTTGGGTTCACTTGCTTAATAAAGTTTTATTTTCTTGTAGTTTTGCCAACATATACAAAAATACACTTTTTCACGTTTCAAAAGACGTTCGTAACTTCTCGTTCCTGGTGCGCAGTATGTCGTCCGAATGGAGTTTTCAAATAAACGAATAAAGCGGGGTGTATTTTGAAGCATTGCATCGTATCTTGCTGCTGTTGATCCAATACCTTGCAACACTTGTTCTGTGATATCTTCCATCACGATCAAGTGCAGACCTGATCTTTGTGCTTGAGTGATGGTTACTTGCAGCTGAAAATAAAACGTTTGAAAATTGGAATCTGTAATACAACACAACACCAGTTCGGTACCTGATAAGTGTAACGAAGATCCGCCCAGCACAAAAATCCGTTCTTGCGTAAAACTCTGGAACATTCCAGGAAAAATTGTTGACAATTACTGTATAGATGGCTGCTTTCGATATTTATTATGACATCAAATGAATCATTAACAAATGGCAATTTTTCCGCACTTCCTCTAATAATTTTTCCAGAACATGAATCCACAATGACTGGGTCAATACCATTTACAGCTGCGAATGAATGCGCTCTGCAATTTGTTTCCGGTAGATTAATGTTTTTAATCAATTTCTCAGCAGTTATTTATCGCTTAGCATTGACGTACTGCTTTCGCAACCACTCGTATAACGCGTGTGTCAATAGCAGGCTTCTTGTCGATTGTCATGAGAATTCTGGAGTGTATTTTCTCACGCTCTGCTCTACATCACTCCGGTCCCACAATTGCTGTCACTTTTGTTAAGGTGTTAAGCAACTCTTACACTTTAATAACAGCCAAGTATTTTTTTCCTACTTGAAACAAATATTTTATTTTTATTTTTTGCAAATTTCATTTATCCAACCTCAAAATCCACTCGACACCGCCACCTTGACCGCAACCAACTTCAAGCAATTGCAATCCGGCAAAATTTGGATATTTCGGGCATAAACTTAAAGCTTTTTCGTAAAGTGTAATATTGGCTCTGCAGTAATTGTCTATTTCGGATAATTTTTCCATCACTGGAAAATCTTCATCCTCTTTCTGCTGGTATCCGAGATTCATGAACCGTATACTAAGCTTATCACGTAGTAGGCTTAGCAATGGATAGAGTATTAACCGATCAAACAAGAAATAATAAAGTCGATGTAAAATATCCATCAAATAACCAATCATCGAATTAGTATGCCAGTTCTGAAGTGCAGTAGATTTGCATTTTATACTTTAAACAATTTATTTAATATTTAAAAGTAAATGTGAATCTAAGATATGAAGACAACAGAATTTGTGCAACGAAACACTAGTATGCATAATTGCAACTTCAAGAGAACCGAGAATTAACCGATTATTTGAACTACCTAGAATCAGGTTGTTGGAAGGAATGAAAGATTCCTTACTGAGCATGAGACTTAAATGGGGTCATGCAACAGTGATATTTCAAGTCGCATCCAAGAATATCCACTTCAGTAGAATACACTATATGATAAAATGATCTAAACTAGTTCAAGTAAGACGAAAATATATCACTTGTCGATTGATTATGAACAACGGAGATAAAACGAATTTTCAGCCACAACTGATTGATAGCATCAGTGTTGAATCAGTATGGAAATAATAAAGGCGGAAAGATGACGAAGTTATGGGTGAGCGCTTTCAGTTGTCTGAAGTCTTCTTTGTTGACAGAATTAACTGATATCATTTCACATTCCATCAAAACATATTCATCACTCGTTTTCTTGAGCTGAACAAATGCTACGCTTAAAGGAAAAAGAGTGCCTAAAATGAACAGTAGTCTTACATCCATCTTTTTAAATCCTGTTAATGACAAGCGGTAATGTGCACTTGCCATTTGAATGGATATCTGGATTAGGACATTAAGTGGAATAAATGAAATGTGAATAGATAAAAATAACGCTAAACTAAAACTATACTGATCTTAGACAGTAAAATAAAATTCACATAACAAATAGATATAAAAACCCGAAATGACTTTTTTTTTAAAGCTAAGGAACAACAGCATCTGTCGAACCATTTCATATTAATTAGAGATTAAGGAAAGAATAAAGGAAATTAATAAACTTATTAAACAAATAAAAATGTTTCCATATAAAACTTATTGATATGATAAGAGTCAAACTAACTGCATTCAATCAAACATAGTCCTCTCTAAAACCATTCTATTATTGATTGAAGATTAAATACAAATCTTAGATAGCCAAACATTTGTGACGACAAAACAAACTTATAATAAACAAAGAAAAATCAATGCAAGTAAAAAAATAAGCGCAAAAATGCGGATGTGAAAAAATACCATGGTGTATTAAGAAGCGAAGTGAAAAAACTAAACAATAATCACCAATTCTCTCAGCTTTTTACACAAATTGTTAATGTCTACAAAAAAAAAAAAAAAAAAACGGTAAAATACTGAAGAGTATGCGCAATTTTTGCTTACAAAATAGAAATTTTAAACTGAATCCAAAACAGTTCATCAATAATTTGCCAAAAGCCTAAAATAGAGCAGAACAGTAAATCAAATGATCGTAACTGTCTGACAGATAATTGAAGTAACCACAAGAAAAAAAAAAAAGAAAGGAAAAAAGACAACCAGTCACAGAAGGAGATAAGCCAAAAATTGCAGTCTTCAAATATAATGCTAATTTCTGCGATGTAGAGAAGAGCAAAATGTCAACCTTCATAGTAAACAATCAAAATGAATTGAAGAAAATTTTAGGATAAACTGGAGAAATTACATTATAAGTTCCAAACTCCCACTCGAAAGAAAAAGTTGAAAAAATGACATAATTAATGAATAAAGCACAAAGAGCAAAGAACGATACATCTGCTAACATAATCCACTCGAAAGTAATTAGTAAATGAAAAGACTATGACTATATCCAATGTGAATTGACTATCTTTTTTAGGTTGCATTCCCAATATATGGTACTAGGCATGGTTATCCAGGTCTACATTTCTCCAATACAATTACATAATGCGAGATAAACATGAAGTATTACTTCGTGGAAACCATTAAATGATTCTATCAGATGTAAAAAGGTCTGCTACCACACAAAAAAGCAAATACTTTGGAAAATTGTGTACTTCTTACCAGACGATTTTAACTGTCAATGACTTGTCATTTTCATATTTTGAAATTTAAATGGATTTGCTAGATTTTTCCTTGCTAACAAATTTAATTTAATTAGCGACTATTTGAATCATTCCTTTCCACAGCAGACATTTGGCGATGGACGACGACATTTCGTAATAATAGGCAATTTATTTTCGTATGACAGCAAATTCTACAATCCATTTCCCTGACTCTATAAAGCAAAATTAAGTTCTGTTAATCCTCCTATCCGAAATAAATATTTTTTAAAATACCGAGAATTATATGAACAAATAAGTTGATAAGAATTGCAAAGTTACAAATAAGTTGTAGTCAAGCTACTCATGGAAAACTCTCACGAGATATGAAAAATTTTCGATGCAAAACAGAAGTAGCTGAATGAGATACAATCTGTATCATTTTCACCAAAAAATATATAGATATGAGCTGATTGACAAAATTTGAAAAGTTGGCAAAATATATCGAATCCGTGTCAAGCAGAAATATCATCAGCCTAGGCTTAGTTCGTTGTAAAACCATAGCCACAGACTTCTTGTTCCTGTCGAGAAAATCGGTACGGAATTCATTTGAACAGATGAAAAGGCCTGACAATCTGATGCGCTATTTGCCTTTTATTTATTATACATTTTTATCGTTTAAGGTTTGAATCTAATAAAGCTGTAAAAATATTAATTTCATAAAAAAATGAGGCATCCAAGTCTTTTTTATTGCTTTTTTTCAAACCAAAACTTTTGTGCTGTTGCCTAATTAGCTAATCATTAAAAGTTCAACAATTGAAGGATATTTTCAATCTGTGCCATTACCGCCTTTTTCCCATTGCTTCTATCGCCGATTTTCTTCAGTCATGACAAAAACTGAGGGTTCTTTTTGCCTCTTTAGTTAATAGTACCTCAAACTTGGGTAATTAAACCTTTTATTACGATAAATTTATTAATACACCAACGAACTTGAAAATATCACACTGATACAAATAACGAACATACAAGAACAAAAAAGGCGAATCACACCCGACACCTTATATCCAACCGACCTCAATGAAACACATTTAAAAAATAGATTAGCGCTCGGGACCTTCTGCTTCTTCAACTGGGAGGGTCCTTGTACCGTTTTATGATTACAAGAATTAGCATTCTTATGAAGCACCCATTGGTGTTGGGTTCTTTGTTAGAGCAAATGTAAGACGATATGAGCATATTAAACAACGATATCTGGCTTTCAAAAAAGAGGGGGATTATTGTCCCTTTGTTTCTATTCGCGATATCAGCGACAGCTTCGAATATTTGCATTTGTTATTCTTTTAGTGCATACTGTGCGATGTATTACTCAATTTTGTTTTTTTTCTTTTTTTTTGTGATTTCTGATTATTGGCTATTGGGTAATTTTCATTATGCATCACAATACAGCACATAAAAGGGGTGCTGAATGGTACTTACACTATTTCAGGTCTTGAATTCCAGAAAAGAATATTAGAATGAAAAATACACATAAATGATACTAAATTGATGTATTGAAAATGATGCAAAAAAAGCACATTATTGCTAGTGAAATTCGCAATGGTGGCATTCTTCAGTTTAAGTTAAAGTAACTGACCATAAGAAAGGGAAATCAAATATTTTCATGCAAAAAAGAAAAAAAATGGTTATAAGTATTAGATAGCTGGGGATGACCGTAGTCTGGAATATGTTTTGATATAACTGCATAAAAGCGGGGAATTTAGCATGTGATGAATAGTGTAATGCTTTGAAATTTAGAGAAAAGGGAATAATTAATGATAAGAAAAGGGAGTAATGATAAGAAAGGAGAGTAATGGTAAGGAAAGAGAGCAATGCTTGTTATACCTCTTATAAATTAAAATACAGGTGGGAAAATTAAGACTGGAAATTGGGTAATCAAATTAGAAAACCGAAACAGTTTAAAGACGGGAGTATTTTAAATTAAGGAATTTAAAATGTCAGCCAATAAATTCGATTTAAAATTTAAATATTCCTTGTAAAAGTAAAAATAGTGGGGTTTCGTCAGGAAAGTAATTGCTAACTACGAAAAGCATTAATTAGAACTACTAGCAGATGAAGAGAAAAGAAAATGAGCATCCGATAAGTGATACCTGGTAATATGTAACTAAAACAGAAGCAGTTTATATATGCACAATAAATTTATATGTTAGTTTATATATATGCACGATAAAAGAAGCATAAACAATAAAAATTTTGTTCGGATAACGTCTTCTGAAATAATAAGCAGGAGCAGTCCGATATTTTCCAGCAATCTTATCTCGATAATGTAAGCACATAAAAAGTTACTTAGACATTTAGCCGAATAATTATTGAATTTTTGAGCTGTCTCTTCCAGACATTATCAGGTAAGACTCATTCAAAATTTCAAATGCCATTTTGTAAGAATAGATCGCACTTTTCGAAAAATAAATTTTACGAAGGACTGGTTCAGGATTGCGACCAACTTGATGTTGTTTCAAACGATGACAATCGCGACCAATTTGATGTTGTTTCAAACGATGACAATCACAAAAAAGAAATGAATGATCAAAACTGATACATTTAAATGAATTTTTTTTTCGATCCAAAAAAATCAAAAATTTAATTTAACTTTTTTCGGGATTAGTTCTTTTTTTTTCCCCTGGAATTTACACACGAAAGTTCGAAAGTTCTGGTACTTGTATAGATTATGAATTATTCCTCTCTGACCATTCATGCATATTTTGATCGGCACGTACGTCACAATTCAGCATTAGCTAAGGGATTACGTTTTTGCAAATTGTCCCTGTTAGTGATGAATGAAGATTCCACGTCTTTTCTTCAAAACATGTTTTTAAAATTGCGAACAGAGGTCAGGAGTGAGGGTAGGGGGGTGAGGTTACGGGAGAAATCAACTCTTACCGTAGTGCTTCTTCAATTGATTCTTCTCAAGTTTGCCTTGTTTACTAATTTTTTTCTCCCCAATATATTGCGCTACTTTCCATGACCATCGATGGACTAAGTGTGAGCCGTGCGTTTAGTAGCGTAAGAATTTCTTACTTTCACGGGTAATTTGTTTCAGTATTTGTCGGCTTATACAACAGACTTAAAAACGAAGAATGGATACATAATCATCACTTAACATTGCGAAATGGAACAACAACTCGAATTATCTTTCAGTTGCAGGTATTCTGAAATCACATTTCTTTAGATATGTCTGAATTAATGCAGTATAAATGTGTTATGATTTATCGAATTGTTCCACTAAGTGATTCAAAGGCTATGTATTTTCAAAGTTTGAATTGAGTTGATTACTTGAAGGCATTGTTGTAGAGATCGTCAGTAAGCCATCGTATTGGGTGTGAACTTTGACCTCGTTAATCACTCAACTCTTATATGGGTATCCATTTTCTAGATGTTTATCCCCGATGGTATCTACATACCTTCCATATAACTGTGTTCCTCTTACTCATGAAAACTTTTAAATATTCAGTGCACTTCCCGTGAAAGCAATCTCAGGTGTTCGGATCACCGTTTCTTTATGCTCCAACAGCAGAGAGAATTTTCTTGAGGTCAACTTTTGTTTTAATTCACCAAATCAGTCTTTTAAAGGGTGTCACAAATTCCTGGACAGAATCCTATTATCTATATTTACTATTGGTCTAACATTTGAGAAATGAATGTTAATACTTTGATTTATAACCAGATCGGACAAACAGAAACAATTGTTGGCAACATTAATCCGGTTTTCAGTCGTCGCTGTTACGTCTCATACTGCTTTGAGAGTTCTCAGAAACTTCAATGTGTAATGTTAGTTTTATATATCACTGGAATCTTATTATTGAATCTTATGCTGTTCTTAATAGTTTTGATTGTAATTTATTTTGTTTTGGCACAGAGTAATTCATCCTTAAGAGACTTCATTAAATGTTATGTTTTGTAGAAATCAAGTTGATGGAAATAGCGAAAGGTTTACTGGTGTGATTGCTAAGGTGGAATGTATATTAGGCGAGGTGCTTTCACGTGGTGGTTCCATCGAGTTGCCACTTTTTCCAAATGAAGGTACACTGAATGAAATGAACTTTTTTTGAGGGGAGGAGGAATATGCTGGATGAAGGTCTGTGAAGATGTCTTGGATTTCTGAATAATCATAAAATGCCATTCACGGATGTTATTTTTGAAGCAGTGACAGTCATATGCACATTGCACGATAATGCAGTCGATTATCCTGCTATAGGTTGCTGAGATTTGTTGATTCCTAACAAGCAGTAATTCAAGCTTTCTCAAATTGCTATTTCAGGAATATCGTTTTTACGCTTGGAAACAAATGAGACGAAACTGTCCGGTCAAGCTGTTCGTTTGCAGTTTGAAGGCCATGGTTTACATGCACCATCAAGTGATTGTCCGTTGGATGCCTATTTTATGATGTATTTGGTTCCGGAAGGCGCGCCAAAATTGCTACTTCATAAAAGTGAAGCAATTGCCGATAAAAATCCTGTGTGGAAAACCTTCCTCGTTCCTGTTTCTCATTTTTCATTTGCATCCGCCAGCTGTTCGATTGAAATTGATGTTTATAACTACAATGTTAATCGCGAGTGTGTTTTTAGCGTCATACTGAATAACTTTCAAAAATAAATATTAAATATATTGTTTAGCATTTATGTAAAAGTACAAGGGCAGGGAAACTTATCTTTTTATGGAATAGGTTCAGTTTATTTAGTGATGGTCTGTCCGCTAAATTTCTGTTCTTTATAACGGCAAAAAAAAAAAACTGTATCATTTCTCCCCGAATAGATGTAATCCGTCATCACTTGTGGTATCTATGAGAGCTTTTTTTTTGTTGCTTTGTACATTAAAGAAGTTTTATTTGTGCATGCGTAAATACATCATTAAAAAATTGACATACCCCCTTCAGAAATCCAATAATATTGAGCAAAAGGAATTATTCATATTTCCTGACAAATCGCGGAAAATATGCATTGTAGGATTTTGTTACTTTCAGGGACAAGCTAATAGGGAAATGTACGACATCATTCGATCAGCTTTTGAGAGGAGTTGGTGCTTTAAACGCTTACAAGGTATTTCATTTCCTACATTTACCAAGTGACGATACAAATTTATTGTTTTATAATTCTCTCATAATAGTCATATGAAACTCTTATAGTTGTCGAGTCTTGAGGGCAGAAAGAAAGGAAACGCTTCAGTGGAATTAGTGAACGTTCTCCAGGTTGCATCATCTTCATTTATTGATTACCTTAAAGCAGGGTAAGTCTGTTTGTCTTTTGTTCCATTTCATCGATTTGTGATCATTCATCTATATTATTTTTAGTACTATGTATAATTAGCAGTAACTACCATTATTATTTATCCTAAAATACCATTCTTTTCAGAACACAGATTCACTTCTCGGTAGCTGTAGATTTTACGGCTTCAAACGGGAATCCACTTGATCCTTCATCACTACACTATATTCATCCACACAAGTCATTTTTTATTCTGAGTTTATTTGATTTCATCGAATAATTTCAAGTCGTCATCAGATGGCAAACAATATAATTTCATATTTTTTGTTCGTAATATGTTATGGTGCATTTTCGAATGTATAGAGAAGCTACTCACCATAGCTGGTAGGACACATCATAGAGGAGTTATCGTTTAACACTGAAATCTAAAATACCTGAGAGTCATATTCTAGATTTAACCCGTATATGACAGCACTGAATGCAGTTACATCGGTAATTGGAAAATATAATAAACATAGACGGATTGCTGCACTTGGTTTCGGAGCACAAACACCTCCTGATTATAAAGTTTCACATCTCTTTTTCCTGGCAAGTATTTCATGCTAATTTTATTTTTCGTCTCCCATTCCTTTTCTGTTTGCTTATTTAATTTTTGGTTCATGAAATTACAGAATGGTGATGCCAAAGATCCGCACGTTAATGGTATTGATGGTGTGTTGAATGCATATCGTTCGGCTTTATTGTCTGTCCGACCGTATGCACCAACGGATTACTCAGAAGTCATATATCATACTTACAAGTGAGCCATTTCATCTTAATTTCACAGTAAGCGTTTAAAATGCTGTTGGAACGATGATTTAATTATTACAAATTTTGCTGATATTTCTATATATTAAAATTTTTGATTAGATTTGGAGCAGCGGTGCAACGCCAGGGAAGGAGTGATCATTATTTTGTATTACTCATCGTGACAGATGGATGTGTGACAAATCCGGAACGAACGGTAAATGCAATTGTGGACTGCGCAGAATTACCCGTGTCGATTGTCATTGTTGGTGTTGGTAACCAAGACTTTTCCCCAATGCAGCATCTCCTTTCCCCGACCCTTAAGTCTTCTGAAGGTCGTCTACTACGCCGTGAGATTGTTACTTTTGTGCCTTACACTGCTTCTATGACCAGTAATGAGCTTGTTACTAAATTGTTATTAAATGTCCCGCGGCAATTTCTTACCTGGGCTATGATGCACGGCAGGTTTGCACCGTCGAGATAGCATTTTACCAAATTTTATATAAATCAGAATATCGGATATAATTTCTAATATTTTCATAGATATCCCTGCAAATCATGCATTACCAGACCTTCTCCATTCTGATGCCAGAAACTGCAAGTCAAATTTCCAGCACGCTTTTCCTACCCACATCGTTACCCATCCCAAGTTTTATTAGATTGGATATATCTTGTTTTTATATAATGCACTTCTTAATATTTGTAGTTAGTTCATGGTTGAAAAGTATGACTTTTCAATTAATCCTTCAAGACACACATTCCTTACTTTAGCAACAAGTTTTTTTCTGTCTCTCTATAATGTTTCTTTTTTGAACATAGTTCCTCTTGTTAACTATGCATTTCCGCTTTTTTTTTTCAACATTATTTTTCGATTAAGGTGGTTGATTAGTGTAGTTTTTCACAGTACTAATCATTAGTACTTACTTGAATGCTTCCCGAGAATCATTGCCAGTTGTGCTAAATTTCATAGTTTTTATAATGTGCTATTCATGTAGATAGATAGATATTATATATATATATATATATATATATATATATATATACGTAC